ATAATGATTATCAGATCTGCTACATAATCAGAATTCAAAAACAAAAAGAAAACATTCACTTAGAAATTTCAATAATAATCAAAACATTTTATTTAGATATATACTTAATAGTAAATTTCGTCCAGTACAAATGCATGCTGTTACTGGAAATACTCAAACAACAACGGTTCAAAGTACTCTTTTTGCACCAGCAGTTGTCGGTGGTGATGAAGATGTTAATGATTATTATGAAGGTTTTAAAAAAATAAAAAAATTAACTAATCTTCGTCGTAATGAACAAGATGATGAATTTTTACCATTTCCCGATCAAAGTGGTAAACTTTTTCAACCGATTGGTTCAACAATACCAAAATTTGAATTTAAACCAATAACAGGTTTAACACATAGTCAACAAGCACATTTAAAGGCACGACGAGCTGCTAATCGACAACAACAACAACGAATTGATGTACGTCAAGAAATCGATGATTTACTTAATATTGATGATTTTGTTTTACCTGATGGTGAACGTCCATTATCATCAGCTGAATTATCAACAAATGAACAACGTCATTATGGTTTACCACCAAGATTACATCATAAAATACCAGTAGGACCACCAAAAAAAGGATCATTAGGTGATTTACTTAAACAAAAAACTAAACAATCCGGTGATCGTAGTCCATCACCAATGATCGATGAAAGTAGTTTAAAACGACGACGACAACAACGACGACGACGTTCTCATTCATTAAGTTCAACTGGTAGTGCACAATGGTCACGATCATCATCATTATCGAATAATGATGATCGAATATCAAGAGTAAGAACAGAAAAAAAAAATTAAATACTAATAGATTAGAATTATTTAATTATATATCTTTCTTGTTATTTTTTTATTCTAGCATTCATCACGTGAAATGACACCAACAATTGAAAATAATCATGATGACAAACATGAAACAATTGAAAATGATGTAACTGATATGAATGATTTATCAAAATTACTTGATTTAAATGAAGAAGATGAATTATTATTATTACAAATTGAAGTTGAACAAGAAGAACGTAATATACGTCGTGAAGAAAAACGTCGACGTAAAGAAGAAAAAAAAAATAAAAAATTAAATAAAAAAATAAAATTATTATCACAAAATGATGAACAAAAAATTATTCAACAATGTCTCAATGATTTAATTGAAAATATTTGTTGTCAAGAAGAAAATACATTGAATTTAAAACGAACGTTTGATTATTCAGATGATGAATTATCAAAAAAGATTAAACTAGATGAAAAAAGTTAAAAGTATTATGATTAGTTTTTTTTTCTTCGTTTCTTTTTTGTGTTTATCTCTGTCGTTGTATTTGTATATATATATCTATCTAAACGTGTTCCTGTTTTCATACCTTAAAAAGAAAGATTCGAACCAATTCAATGAATTATATACATATATATATATATATATATCTAGCATGCGGCTTTTACTTTCATAATAGACAAATGGAATTTATAAGTGAAAAGTAACTTTAAATAATGAATAGTTTTTGAATCATGATAAACATCTTTGCATGTCAAAATTTAATGCAAATAGAATTGACATGTTTTTGTCAATGTTCTATTTTTTTGCAAGCTCTCTATACTTGGGTAAATTTTAGTTCCGATTATTTTTGTCTCAAGGGATTTAACTTGAATAATAATGTGAATACAAAACAAAGTAAGAATAATAAAACTTATTAATAAGTAAATATTACAATGGATAAATTAAAAATGAATAAATTTGGAGTCTTTTCTGAAAACAAAAATATTCTTATATTACAATTATAGGGTTCAAAGTACGAATGAATATGATGTATGTGAAATTAAGAGATTTTTTCTCGATCGTATTGAGAATAGGTATAATATAATCTTCTTTTTCTTTTACTGAAATGTTGTTTTTCAAAATAAGCATTATCTTGAGAATCATTAATTTGATTTCTATACTCAAATAAATTGAACTATGTGTTTCTTCCGCTGTTTCTAAATGAAATTATTTAGCAATAAATTACAATTTTTCTTCATTGCTTGTCAAATGTTACAATCAAGTGGGTTGAAGTATTTTTATGTTTTGATCAAACTGAATGTTTTGTAGTAATTCGTACGAATTTTAAAAAGAAAGCTTCATTATTACAATAATGCTCAAGCGCGTAACAATATCATTATGGATAATGGATTTCTATAACGTCAAATATATGAGAGGATATTATGCACAGACAGGTACAACGAGTAAGAATGGTTTAAAAAACATAGTAAATAAGACGTGAGAAAAAAGACTGTGTCACAAAAATTCACCTTTATTGCAGATGCTTTTATACAACATATTCAGAGTCAAGTGCAAGCAATCATCAAGGATAATTCTGTTTTGATTGTTCGCAGGAGAAAAACAGGAGTTTTTAATAATAGATGAATTTATGACTTTTGTAGAGATAGAACTATTGAATGATTTCTATTATTGATATTCTTCAAAATATACATTTATTGAAAAATATTTCTAATAGAAGTTTAAACCTTTTTTTTTCATAATAAGTAAACCTTTAACAAAAATATCTTGTTAGATTGTCTTTATAATTCATAGAGAAAAATAGAATTTCATTTCTAAAAAAATTTCAATAATTCTTATTACCGATAAATTTGTTTTCAGACTATTTCATGAAAACAAAAAACCTATGTCATAACATTTATTGCTTATGTAAGCAATAAAAGGATGCGAACGTATAAATAGATCTTTCGGCTCCTTCTGATCTCCACGGTCCAAACTAATTAAATTATATATTCAATGAAAGATTATGAGTTCGTCATCATTTTGATTCGATCATAACTGTGAACAGAATCTATCTTCATGATATACTAAATGACCAGTTAGTTGTATAGCTTTTTGTTCAGGTTACATTTTCATAAAAGAATCATTCATTTAAAATAATCTATTGAATCTACTGAACCATATACAAATTTTTCATTGCTTATATTTTGAGTTTGAAATTCACATGTGAATTCTATTTGTCGTTTAATTATTGTATTAATGACACTTCCTTCACATTTAATTCATATTGTAATCGATAGAACTTTTCAAGCATTTCAAAACGAACTAATTTATATTGTCTAAAACAGGTAGACCACATAATAAAACCTCAAGTCGACTATTCATCAGGTTCAACTTTTAACTTTTTCGATTAATATTTAATAGCTAACAAGTAGAATAATACTCATGTCACTTTAAACAAAGATTGTATTTGAAATTAACAAAAAGAAATGAGTCTATTTATATATATTTCAAATATATTCTATAACTTGTTTTTCTGATCAAATTTTCATCCCTCAACGCCTCCAGAGATATGTGGAAAAATGAATTTAATCAACATAACTATTTTATTGTTTGATCACTTGTCTTTTGTCTTTAAATGACATTTTACAACTTTAGAACTTGCTTTTCATTGTCATAATAACTTTTTGATTAAATTCATTTTCCCGTATATCCCTGGAGGGGGGGGAGAGGGGGTCCAGGAATGAAAATTTAATCAGCAAAACAAGTCATAGAACAAGTTTGAAACATATATAAATAGACTCATTTCTTTTTGTTAATTTCAAATATAATCTTTGTTTGAAGTGCCATGAGTATTATTCTACTTGTTAGCTATTAAAAATATTAATCGAAAAAGTTAAAAGTTGAACCTGATGAATAGTCGATCTGGGGTTTTATTATGTAGCCGACCTGTTTTAGACAATATAAATTAGTTCGTTTTGAAATGCTTGAAAAGTTCTATCATTAACAATATGAACTAAATGTGAAGGAAGTGTCATTAATACAATAATTAAACGACAAATAGAATTCACATGTGTATTTCAAACTCAAAATGTAAGCAATGAAAAATTTGTATATGGTTCAGTAGATTCAATGGATTATTTTAAATGAATGATTCTTTTATAAAAAATAATAATCTGAACAAAAGGCTTTCAGCATATACTTGAATTTCTCTTCATTTTTATTTGTTTTCTGTCAAAACGAACGTACACATTGTTGGCTAGTATCAATAACTTACTGACCATTTAGTATATTGTGAAAATAGACTTTGTATTAAAAATCAAACAGAACGGAAATGTGTACTTATACACTCTCATCCTTTCTTAATAATCTTTGAAGTATCTGTCTCTATGTAGAGTGTTTGTTAGATTCTTGTATACATCTATATATATATATATATATATACAACAACAGTTGTGATGTACATGATTGTCAATTTATTCTAGTGAACAAAAAACAACAAGTGTTCGTACTCAAGAGAATCATTTAACCAAGATAAATAATTAAATGATAAAAAGAAAAAAACTAGTATACGTAATTGAAAGCACGTCAACTTGATTGTCATATACTCAAAAGACAAAAAAAAGTATTTATCCCTTAATGTCGTTGTTCATTAATGTAATTTAACTATTCAAAAATGAAATTTGTGTTAATATATTTAAGAAGAAATTATATTATTAAATTTAGAAATAATATTAGAAAAACAAAGTTTTCTTCTAATATAAGTTTGGTTTAAGTCAAAAATTATCGATATATTTTTCATAAAATTATCTTCATATGAGACAGAAAGCAAGAAAAGTTTTCTTTTTTTTCAACAATTTGTATAGAAAAAAAAAGAAAACAAGAGAGAAAGCGACGTTCTAAATAGTTAAGCAAAGAAACAGAAGAATATAAAAAGTCAGTTGATCTGTTCATTTAACACTCACTGTTTCTTTGTTTTTTCATAACAATAGATTCCACAGAATAGAAAAGCGTTGACGATAATCGAGCATATATTTTCAGTCATATAAGGATCTGTTTTTTTTTCTTTTGTTTTTTAAATGGATAGTACCTTTTTTTTTCCTAATATCTTTGTCATTCATCTAATCGGTTGACAAAAAAAAGGCATCATTCATCATGGGTATAATGATATTCAATTTCATCTCATTGACAATTTCTAATGTTCAGTATTGGTCTCCTATTTTGTTGTATTCTATCATAAACTAATAAGATAGAGAAAAGATAATTGAACATGAAAAAACAGATACACAATGACTCTCTGCAAATCCTCATGAGATATAAGGTTTGCGTGTATCCATCTATATATATATATGTGTGTGCGTATTTTAGATTTGAACTTCATTCTCAACCACGCTATTTTTACAACATTCATCATTCACTTTCGTTTCTTTATTATTCTCTCTCTCTCTAATTCAGTCATAATGGTTTCCAGTTCAATAATTTATACGGTTTTCTTCACAATGGGTAAGTTTTAAAAAAAGATTCTATATCAACAAGTACAATTTGACATTAAAATATCGAACTACAATGATAAATGATAAAATTACTTAGACATATCAGACTAAGAATAATAATCTTTTAAAAGTTCCTCTCTTTTTTTTTAATCTTTCATAAAAATAAAAACATTTGAAAATCACTTTCATTGTCTTTTCTTTTTATTTGCTTCAAGGTCTTCTTCTTTGGATTGATTCAATAAATGCTACAAAGGTACAAAACAAAGATGATAATGATGATTCCACATCAGTGAAAATATTGGATAATGATCAAGATGATGCGATGTCACTACTCGACAAACGAGCTACAGAACACAATAATCAATTTCGTGATGCATATCCAAGTATTATGTTGGGCAAACATCGATTTGGATCACGTGGTGTTCGTCTTCCAGCTGAATCGATTCTTCTTGGTAAACGTCGTTTACCTGTTGAATCTATTCTTCTTGGTAAACGTCGCTTGCCTGTTGAATCTATTCTTCTTGGTAAACGTCGTTTACCTGTTGAAGCTGTACTCTTAGGTCGACGTAGCTTACCTGATGAAGATGCTGTTCATAGCGAACGACGATAAATAATAAACAAGTTATATTGACATTCCAGTTAAAACACATATCGATAGCACATATTTACGTTATCATATAGAGTGCTATTGTATTTATTTAAAAAAAAAAGAAAGAGAGAAATTCAAAAAATAAAAACAAAATGGACAAAGAAAAATTTAATATTTAAAATTTTCTATTGTCTATAATCGCAAAAGACAAGTATATTATAAAGACAAAATAGACAACATCAATGTCTAAGTGATTACAAAAATCATATATTTATTGGTTTTTTTTTATTACACAATATTAATGCAATTAGAGCATACACTTTAATATTTATGTTCTATAATTAAAAGACAAAAATGAAAAATTTCTATTATTATATATGTCTATCGGGAGATGAAACAAGATAAACTCATTCTTAAGATAATAT